GAATGGTTTCTAGTGAAAGAAATAAGAATGAATTTGGTACACTGGATCAATGATATCTGACGGACACAATACATCCGCTGGAATACAATTGGCACATCAATTGTAGGGTAATAAGGTAATTATGCTAATTACATGAATTATTGAAGCAGACCTACCTCTCCAAATCCCGCAGCTCATTCATTCTCGCACCCAAAGCTCATCAAATCTCCTAGCTTCTTCATACACGCACCTAAATCTCCTCAATCCCGCAGCTGTGTATTTTGTCGCGATCGATTCTTTGTTATTTCGAGCTCGATTTTACAATATTCCATGAGATCTCATGCAAATCTCGATTCGCGAGTCCAAAAATTTTGATTGAATTGTCATATCACATACTCGACGGCATCAGGTATATATTTTCGATTTTGGTCAATTATTGTATGAAATTGAGTGTTGTTGGTTTAATTGTCTACATGCCAACATATGTAATATTCATATGATAATTAATGGATAGTTGATTTGATGTAATTTGTTTTTTCATGTGATTTTAGGTATTTCATACGGTTTATTGGTTGAGCTGTATAAACAATGGAATTAAATGACTCTCAACTAGGTATTGAGGACAGTTTCATCTGTACTGTGATAAAGTGCAATAGTCGTTTCTATTTTGTGCAATTGCCTGATCATTTCAGTGCAATAGTTGGGTTTATTTATTACTACTGATCATTTCAATTGCCTTAAGGAATGCAACCGTCGGTTACACAGTAGCAACTTTTAATCACACCGGGTGGAACAAAACATTGGATACCATAATGTGACGAATCGATTAAACCATATAAAGGACAAAGATTCTGGGAATTACATGAAGCGGTGAACGGCTACAATGCTTATGCTCTTACTGTTGGGTTTGACGTGAGACATAGCACGTTGGTGAAAGCAAGTGACAAGACGGTTATTTGGAAGTACCTTGTGTGCTCGCGAGAGGGTCACAAGCATCATGCAGTCATCAGTCCAACAGTACACGCTAAAGGGCACGTGACAAGACGTAGAGTGTCCAACCGGGTAGGATGTACTGCCAAGATTGGGATTCGATATGATGGATTGAATGGATACATCGATAAAACCTTTGAGGAAAAACGCAGCCACTCGATGACATCTGAAGATTGCATGTCACAAATGAAGATGAATAGGCTGATGAATGCAGGACATCGTCGTTCGTAATGAATTTCATAAAAGCAAATATAGGGCCGGTCAAGTCGCACCGATTATACAAGGAGATGGTTGGAGGGTATTCGAACGTCGGAGCCACCAACGTGGATTTCAAGAACTTTAAGCATAAAATCCGTGCATACATCTTAGGAGCTGATGCGCAATTGATTATCGATAAATTCCATAAGCGTCAGGAAGCAACCTCAGCCTTCTACTTCCAGTACGAGCTCGACGAAAAAGAGCATTTGAAACGACTTTTTTGGGCTGATCTGATTTCGAGGAGGAACTACGGTTCATTTGGTGATGTTGTATCGTTTAATGCGACGTACAACACCAACAGGTTGGCATAAATTCCACACATATTTTTCCAACGTAGTTTGCCAGTTCAATAATGATTTTGCACTGGTCAACAGTAATAGTACACGATACAATCAGTAACTGCACTTTATGCATTAAGTAATAGCACATTATACATTCAATAATTGCACCTTTTATGTTATCTGGTTGCACAATATAAACATTATCATCTGTGTACTAACTCAAATTGCTCAACGTGTAGGTACAACATAGTGTTTGCGCCTTTTACTGGAATAGTTAACCACAACAAGTGCGTTACATTTGCCGCCGCGTTAATATCAAAAGAGGACGTGGACTCTTATGAATGGGTGTTCAAGAATTTCAAAGATGCAATGATGCACGAACCCGAATATATTGTCACTGAACAGGATCTCTCGATCGGCATTGCGTGTCCTAAGGTATTCGAAACTTGCAAACACCGATTTAGCATGTGGCATATAATGACTAAATTATGCGACACGGTCGGCCATTCAATAAGTAACGATGTAGAATTCAGGCAAAGGCTTAATGGAATTGTGTGGGATCGAACTATAAAACCTGATGATTTTGAAGATAAATGGGGGGGCAATCATGAGAGACTATATGCTGGAAACACACAATTGGTTTAATGATCTTTTTGCAAAGAGGGAATTTTGGATTCCAGCATTTTTCATAGATGTCAAAATGAGCGGTTTGATGAGGACAACATCAAGGTCCAAGAGTGAGAACCATTGGTTTGGTCATTTCACGAGTAGCCATTCCAGCTTAGTCGAGTTCTTACTACATTTCGAGAGTGCGATGGACGCGCAACGAAACGTGATGGTCAAGCTACAAAATGACAGTGAGACGCAAATGGCTGAGTTGAAGACACCTTTGCCGATTGAGAGGCACGCGAGGTCTGTTTACACAAAATCCTCATTCTACCGCGTACAAGAGGAGATATGTGCAACATGTTTCACCTGTCGTTTATTGAACGTCACTGAAAGTGAAGGGCATATGAAATTCATAATCAAAGAGACAAGTGGTGAATCCTTCATTGTCGTTCATGATGTGGTTCTAAATACGTCTACGTGTTCGTGCAAGCACTTCGAGTTGTACGGGTGATTGTGTAGACACGTGTTTGTTGTGCTCATGGACCTGGGCTTCGATCTCATTCCGTCAGCACATATCATGTCGAGATGGACGAAGCAAGCAATTAGTAATCCCATGTTTCACGTGCTCGATAACATTGATACACAATGTGCCCAAGCTGATGATATAAAGCGTTTGTTGAACAAACTATGGTCGGATATACATATATGCATTGGATTAGCCGAGCCCTGTGTCGATCACCTCATTGAATTTTCCAAAATCGTCGAAGCATACAAGATTAAGCTACTGTCTGCTCAAACAGGGGATACAACAATCACTGGTAAAGCACACCTAAGAATTTTCACTATATAAGATACAATACTGCACTTTATATATATTCGTGTTGCACAATATGAAACAAATCATTGCACTTTACAAAAAAAATAATTTATGCTGCTGATCAACATGGGATGTTCCAGATGCTATGAACATTGGAAAAGAACACCAATTTGAATCATTTGTTGGCATGGCCGCTACTCAAGAGGTGAACATTCACCCTCCGGCCCAATCCAAGAACAAAAGTAGCGGTAAGAGACTAAAAAGTGCGAAGGAGAAGGGGATTGAAGGGTCGCAAAAGAAAAGAAGGACGTGCAAGTCATGTGGTGAAATGGCATACCATAACGCACGTACGTGTCCCAAGAAGCAACATGCATACCAATGAAATCCCATCGAGGTAGATGAACAAATATTAATCTGATAATCTAACATAGGTATTAGACGTATATGTTTTTGTCTACATGTGCAATAATTTACAACTCACGCATATACGTTCCTATACTATAATTCTTCTACGGCATGCATCTATATACATATGTCAACATCCTATATCGGTACGCGTTAGTCATATGTATATTTGCGTATTCATACAATAGTGTAGGGCATATTAAATGCGATGACTTAATGTTAACATATATAAAATGCAGGCACAGGCGACAAGCGAGGCGACAAGCGAGGCGACAAGCGGATGATTGTATTCATCTTGATCGTTTGGTTTAATGGTTTAACGATCTTTTTTTTTTGTTCAATTTTATTTTTTACTCAGGGACAATGTAGAGACATATGGTAGTATGTTTAACGAATATTGCTCTATGTAGCACTCGTGTGTTGCCGTGAATTTTACGACAGACATTTTCAATGTTACTTCAGTCATTTTGATTGTCTTTTTCAATGGTATTGACTAATTAATATGTGTGCCGATGAGTCGTTATATGGTATTTGGTGTGCACGTCAACCACGAATACAATATGTATATTGCATATTTTTTTTGATACTACGTTGCACTTTTATGAACATTACGTTGAACTTCTGTGAGCGCATGGCTGCACTTTTTCATCCGATATGATTACACAATTACGAAATCATTCGATATAACGACCTAATACAAACACGTATTTGCTTACGTAAATACATTATAATTGGATGTTATTGCAACATTTGACATCGCAACAATCATACGTCTGACCTAAGCATTTCTTCCGAATATGATATGATGATGCACTTTATACATTGGACCGTTGCACGATATACCGCAATCTGTTGCACTTTACGGAATTAAATGCCGCACTCTATCGATGCTCACCACGCTAATGTCGACAACACCGTCCAATAATCCACAAACCCTTAATCGAAAACAACATCGTACGATTATGTAATCGCATAAAGTCTGTCAATCACAACAAAACAAAATAAACAAATATATATATATATATATA